ATTCAAAATCATCCTGCAGTTTCAATAGAACAGTTGTATTTTGAGTTTTGTGTATATTTTTTTTTTTTTGGATTTTTAAGGAACTAATGATCTATCTTAAAGGGAGAAATTTTGAATGTTAGAAATACAATTTTAGGAAATTTTAAAGAGTCAGAGAGTCGAAAATCTTCAGGGAATTTCAGGGTCCCAAAAAACTTGCCTAAACAAGGCAATGTGTGTGCCTTTTATAGGCAAAATCTAAAGCTTTTCTTCAGATTTTTGTTTTTCTCTTTAGTCCCTCTCTTATTTAGTTTTCAGTCCCTCATTTTTTAACTTATTACTCAGTAACAACACCTATTTTATGAAAACTATACTAAAGTCTATTCTAGAAAGTCCTACACCTATTACAATCCCTATACTACCCTTTCCTACTTTAAAAACTACTATTCCTAATAAACTACCCTTTCCATACCCAGCTACCCTTTAATTGTACTATAATTACTGGCCTAAAACACTTTAACTGTTTTTTCCTCCTCCTATTTTAACCCCCCTTGGGGTTTTTTGTTTTTTTTCCAAAGGGGGAGGGGCTTTAAAAACTTTAATGGGTTATTGGTCAAGGCTAACTATGGTTAAACAAAAAACCTGCTAGATTGACTCAGCTATATCCAAACAATTTGAATCATTGACCTAAGGATCCGATTATCTTTCCTTATGTTTCCAAAAAGAACAAGCCAAAACTAATTAATCTGGTGATGAGCAAATACTTAACAGCAAACAAACAGGATTAAGACTAAAAAAAAAAAACATTCATGGATCATCTAATCGAAAGCAAACACTGGATCAAAACAGGACAACATTAAACAAAACAAAGGAGAATTAATTTGAACAGAGTAAACTAGAACCCTACGAATTCTGAACGAAATTGTTATGCGCAAAATAAGAAGAAAAACAGACCAAGAAGAAAGAACTTACTGATTTTGGAGACTACGGAACTCTCCTATTCTCGAAGTTGGTCTTGAAATAGTATTATGTGTTTGTTCTTACCCAGAACAAACACATAACACGATTTCAAAACCCCTCAAGTATTGATTGACCCTGAGAAACAAACCAGCCTCGGTGGTAAAACCCTAAGTCTAAAGTTCGAAACAATTGGGGCTTTTGGAAGCAATTAAGCGTAGATCGATGGGGAATGGGTGATACGGGTTCAGGGGTATGGTTTTGTGGTGGTTTGGGACTGCGCCGCCACCAGGGGATCTTGTGGCGGTGCTAGGGTTCTTGGCTCAAAATTTATCATTCGACGAATTCCCGGCAGACTCGAGGTGGAATGAAAGGATGAAGGTGAGGCTATGGTGTTAATTTGAGGGCCATCGGACAAAGTAGGGTTTTGGCTGATTCTTCGATTGAAAATTCGAGAACACTGGCTGGGATTTAAAGGCTAAGGTTCAGGGATTTGGAACGGGGAGGTAAAGGGGGTTCTAGGGTGTGAAAGCGGGGTCATTTGGACGATCGCCGCCGGCGGAGGCGATTTCCGGCCGGCGGCAGACGGTGGGGGACGGTGCTGACGGGCGGCGTTACGCCGGAATCAGCGGGGTATGAGAGACGGTGGTTTTGGGGGTAGGGGGGGTATGTTTGGACATTTATATATTAAATATCGTGGGCTTCAGGACCGTTCGATCAACAAACCTCGACGGTCCTGATCTAACGCCAATGAAACGGCGTCGTTTCGTTACAAACGAACTGGACCGGGTGCTATGGGTTGGATTTGGACGGGTTGGTGTTTATTTTATTTGGGCTCAGCCATTTTGGCCCAACTCTTGGCAGCCATTTTTTGCTTTTCTTGTATTTTATTTACTTTCTTTTGTATTTTATATATATTTTTTTTTTTGTATTTTTGTATTTCTGTATTTATTTATTTTTTTCTGATTTTATAAAATGCTAAAACAAAATAAGGACTTAATTAAACTATTTAAACTCCTAAAATTATTTAAAACTCTATTTAAAGATAAAAATGCAACAATTAACAATTGAAAGTGCAAAGAAACTATTTTTTGCAATTTTCTTTGAATTTTGTTTTAAAATTAATTAATACCAAAATTGTGATATTAAATCCCTAAATGCAAATGCACATTTTTTTGTATTTTTACGTGAAATAAAAATGCAACCAATTAACGCCAAAATTTAACAAAAATTCACAAAAATTGTAAAATAATAAAGAAGTCAATTACTTGAAACTTTTGGAATTAATTTGCTTAGGGCAAAAATCACGTGCTCACAATGATGTTTTTAAGTTTAAGGGTTGAGCTATTCTTGTAAGGATTGTAGTACAGGAATCGGCTATTACAATATTAACAATGTCAAATTATTATGTCGTGAATAAAAACATAATAATTGTATAAGGTGAATATAAAGGTAGGAATACTATCAAAGGATGTGGTGCAGTAGATGGGACTGCTCCTTCTTTAACCATAGGTCTTGGGTTCGAGCACTGGGTATGGAAAAATCCTTGGTAGGGAGCGCTACCCCCGAATGGGACCCTACCCGTCGTGAATCCGGATTTAGTCGGGCTCCAATACGGGTACCGGACACCGGGTGGAAAACCAAAAAAATAAAAAAGGCAGGAATTGCCTATTTCTAATGCTTTTTTGTCGTTATATTCTCTTATCAAGGTATCACCAAAACCTATTATTACTTCACGTCCAAATTTGAATAAAACAACATATAGATTCTCGCATAAGTTATGCAAAAATTAGTAATACGGAATTAACTAGGGAGATCTAACTTTGATTAACTAATCAAATGTTGTGTTAACAGAAATTAGTAATGAGTTTTATATTGCAAAGCAAATGATTAGCTGTGTAAAATTTTATACCAACATTGAATTTTTTTATTTTTTATTTGGTTTCTTACTTTGCTTTGGGGCTCCACAAAAAAGTCCCCTATCAAGATAAAGTGCTCCTACCAAAAATGATTTTATTCATGGAACTCGAACTCGAGACTTATGATTGGAGGAGGATTACTCATCGTTCTAATACCAATTAAAATCTTTTTGCCGCCACCTTCTTCCGTTCACTTTCAATTGTCCACTATACTAAAAATATATTTTCACTTTTACTTGTCCACTATACTAAATCAAGAGAAAGACAATCTTTTTTTCCTGTTTTACCTTTATCATTAATTACCCATTCCCCAAGATTTTTGTAAATGCTGTCATTATTATGGGTAAAATTATAAAATATATATTTTATTTATTTTTTCTTAAAAGGAGTGCAAAATCAATATTCCCTCCGGTCCATATTAAGTGACCAATTCGCTTTAGGTACACCCATTAAGAAAATTCTAAATTATAGACAAAAATAGTTAGTGTGATTAAACTACCCTTAATTAAATATTGCAGCATAGTTATAGTAGCACTTACTGCTCCTCTCAAATGTGAGGAGTAAATGACTTTTTAGGATACGCATATAAGGGTAATTTTGGAAAAAAAATTAAATTTTTTCTCGATTATATAAGGTGGTCCGAATAGTGAATTTTTCAAAAACATGATCAGAAAAATGAGAAAAATGGAGTTTTTGAAAAGAAAAAGAAATCCATTTTATCATTCAGACGAAAAAAATATTATGATTCTTAAGAACTCAACGGGCCCTTCCCCTTCGAATCAAACAAACAAAGAAGGGAATCCCGTTGAGTTCTTACGCTTCCATGTTGACGACTCAATTCATTCGATTACTACAGGGATGAACCCAATCCGGAATATGAACCATAAAAGAAAATACCTATTAAACCGATTACAAGAATACCAGCTACAGTACCTATTATCCAAAGAGGAATCCTTCCAGTAGTATCGGCCATTTACCCCACTTCCCTCCAGATAAACACTTATTTTGGACCAAAATAAAAAATCAAATTGGTCATTTATTATGTGGAGGATGAGTAGCGTACAGCTTGTTTGGATGGTTGTTACCCGTTGTATCGTATTGTATTATTTTTCCATAACAATGTTTTATTTTGATTGTTTAGTTAAAATTGGTTTTATTGTATTGTTAAATCCATTGTTCCAGAACAATGAAAAATCCCATTTTTTGAAACAACCGATTTGGTGTGGTGGGATTGTTTCCTATTTTTCTTTCTAATTATGCCCTAACTTATTTACTTTATAATTCTATTTTACCCTTTACCTTTTTTATTTTAAATAATAGCAAAGTCATATAATTCTATAATAAAATTCTACGTGAAGTCTAATAACCTATATAAATTCTCAAAGACAGCATCCCAAAATATAACCTATATACGTAAAAGTCTAATAACCTATATACGTGAAAATTCCAACTCTTTTGGTATATGTTTTCCCTTACTTTTGTTTCATTCTTTCTTCTACTTTGACTTGTAATTCCAATTCTAATTACTTTATCTCCAATTAACTTTGTGATGATGTTGTTTTCAAGTGTGCAAAGTATTATTATTTATCTTTGTTCTGCCAACTCTTTCATTCGTTTCTTTATCATCGTTGTTAATTTTTATCCTTAAGCTATGGATTATATGTCATGTTGTTAGGAAATATTACTTATGATCTAAATTTTGCATGGAGTCTACTTAACATTTTTTTTATTATTATGATCTAATTATGAATATAGTGTACTTTAATTATTTTTAATATTGTTAACTTGTTCCACTAATTTCGATAGAATCTGTATGAATTTAATTGCTTAATTTATATATAAGATATAATTGGTGATAAATATAGAAAGGGTTTTTTTAAATAATTTTATGCGTAATTCTTGATAAATTAAATATTTAAAACAACTGAGAGTATTTTAGTAAACTTATCAGTTACACTACAGTACGATACAGTCAAACCAAACAGCAAAATATTATTTAACAACACCATACAATACAATCTATTCAAATATTGTATTCACAAAATGATATGATATAATATAATACTATATATTATAAAACGATGGGTAATAATGATCCAAACAGAGTGTAAAAGCGTACGAGAGTACATAGATGATAAAGTCTCTACCTTGTGTTATTGACACAAATTCCAAACAAAAAAGAAAATTGAGTTCAAAATAAAAACGAATCAACGGGTTTGGCTGGAGAAACATTCTCAATCAAAGACTCTAACTACTCCAAATGTCTGAAAATCCATTGCAGCTTCTGTTCAAAACATACGAGAAAGTATCAAACTCTATCCAAAGCCAGCTTGCTCATTTCATATCTGTCCCAAAACCTCCTTCATCTCATAATGATGACCACTCCTTCTCTTTGGGGCTCTCTTCATCTTCTTCCAACAATCTACCTCCTTCAAAATCTCCAACTTCTCAACATTCTGAATTGCCCAAGCAGGTAATTTTCCTTAAGGGCCTTTAATTACTTTGTAGCTTCGAGCTGTGTTTTAGTGCTTCTGCACTTATTGAAGCACCGGAGGTATGTAGATAACGCCTATTAAGTGTTTGATGAAAGTTCTCACGGATAGTCTCGGCGTCTTTTTCTATTACTACCGTAAAAATATTGTTGGCTGTTGAGATAGGTTTGAGCTATATAAACCGAATGGATAATGATGCTAGATTACGTAAGTTTTCACCATATACTACTAAAGAAAAAAAGAAAGATTATTTTTTCGATTAAATGCATGAAGGGTTTTGAACTCCACCTATATGAAAAGTGTCGCCAGTTCCAACGCCGGATAATAAAAGCAGTGGCGCGAGCGTGAAAATAGCTAGTTATGATAAATTTTTAGTACTAATAGACTTGCCTACTTAAGTACGTGCGACATTGATGAAATGGAATTGGCTTGAATATAGGGGAATGGATACAGAGGATTCATATAGCTGATCTGAACTAGTTGGGAATTGAGGCTTAGTTGATGATCGCAATGCATGAGGGTGTTGAAGTTTCCTCCAACTGACAAAAGACTACATAACAAACACATTTCTGAGGAGTGTGGGTAGACAAGGGGGAGTGAGTATACTGGCTTATTGGGTTACTTTCAGCGATGATTCTTCGACTTCCAGTGGTGCTGCAGGTGAAGTATGAGTCTTAAGTTTAGTAGCGGTTGTTTTCGGTTGAGAGGTGCTGTGTTAGACGGGGGAGTATCTCTGCAGTAATTGATCATTGATCGTAAAATTTGGGAGTTGGTGCATCAAATAATATTTGTTTTAGGAATTTCTTCTGGGTCTCCCGTTCATTAAGCTCTTTGGCATTTAACTGTTTTGAAAGATCGGAAAATTTTAATTGCTCCTCATTCACCAGGAGAATGTTATCCAGTATATGTTGGTTTTCAATTGCTTGCTGCTTGTTTTTTCACACCACAGTAAAAAAAATTATCAATCATCTTTCTCAGGAGAAAAATGCTGGCCCAGTGACTAAAGAAGATCTTGGAAGAGCTACTTGGACTTTTCTTCACACTCTTGGAGCTCAGGTCAAGTATCCACTTTTTCTATTGCAGAAGTTCTCTTTCTAGTTTCTACGCAGCTGTAAAAACCTTTCAGTAGAGAAAATTTAGTCTGGGTTGCTTAGGCATTTCGGTTGACAAGTTTTTTGAGAATTGTACAGCAATACGCGTTCATTAATAATATTGTTAGCACACAGTTAAGCAAGGTGAGAACACTGATTACCCCTAATTGTGTTATCATTACTGTGAATTGTTCTATTTCGATAATTAATTGTCTGGTTTTAGTTTTGCTCTACTATTTTGTTATATATCTAGTCTACCCAATGCTCTTGATGGTTAATAAATTCGCATAAGGGCAATATACAATAGTGTTCCAAAGGGTTCCTTATCTGCCTGGTTCTTTTTTTTTTTCTTGGTGCCCAAAAATAGATACATTTTATTTATTGAATATTCTTGCTTGTCGACCTATATGATCATAATAGCTCAATTGTATTTTTTTTCAGTATCCAGACAAGCCAACCAGACAACAAAAGAGGGATGTGAAAGAACTGGTATGGTACTCAGTCACCCTAAACTATTATTTTTCTTGATTTCAGAACTGTGAAGTTTAGAATCCCAACTGCTTCGTCATCGGATTCCAAAGAAATTTTGAATATCTTCATGCAAAATAATTACATTTTGACCTTGTCTTCTCATGCTGTGGACATATCCAAAAGGATATCTTCTCTTTCGAGAGCTCAACTGAAATTGATATGTCGGATTTCTGTTTGTCTGCATGTGAGGTGCAAGGTGTGCATAAGAAATAAGACAATCATTTGGGAAATTCTTGTGCCATTATAAGAGTGAGAGGTTTATGCAGTTCAGAGGATGGGAAGTAATAGAAGGATAAATTTTGAAAGGGAGTAAACAATAGGTGCTCTATAAGATAGTGGTGTGAATAAGCAATTTGAGAATGCTGTCGATTCCACTGACGCCATTGTCATTATTGCTTTTTTCCCTTGCATTGCATTTCATATATAACTTACCCTTATTGGGAAGTTTTGATTGCTCAATGTTGATTAGGAATTTTTCATTCTAATTTTCTTATTGAATATGTCGCCTATTTAACATCTGTCTGAAACCTAAGAGTAGTCCCTACAATGCCAGATTTAAGTCTTGGGTGACTTATGGTTCTTACAAGTAGGAAAAACAAATAAAATTGAATTTTAGATAAAGGAAATAGAAAAAATGGAAATCAACGAATGGTAAGTGCTTTAGGAACAGGAAAGCATGGAGTAGAGAAGTAGAAAACCGAACATGAAGAAAAAACAAAATAGATATTCCTAAAACTAGCGATGCCACCATTCTAGATACGTTCTAACTATCTTCACTCCAGCCCACTGTCTCTTGGCACTGTTCCCTCTTCACCTGCACCAGCCCGCTGTCCACTGCCCTTCCTTTGTCACCTGCTCCTATGTGCCCACCCCTATGACCCATTCTCAGACTAAAGCACCCTCAAAATCCTGAAATCCATGTTGCAGTCCGCTTTTTTACCCACTCCCATTCCATCCCTTGGCTCAATTCACACTTCTACCTTCTCCCTCATCGCACTGGGTCCCTGCTTGTCCTCGCTGTCCTCTCTCCCTTCAGCTACCGAAGTATGCACATCTCCAGCATCATCTCCCCTCTTCCCCCAAACAAAGCGGCATACTTGCAGCTGCCTTTTAATAGTCTTACTTTTATTATAGCGTTTGCGATTAAAATACAAAAACACCCCCTATATTAGATGGTTTTGTATATGTGATTTATGTGATTGGAAGGTGATGTTACATAACCCAAGAATCTGCTTTAAAATATTGAGGGCTTATCTAGGGGTAGAGTAGTTACCCCTTATCACTAGTTCAAAATACTCAAACTTCCTTTCTGTTATGCTTTTCATAAGCACTGGGACAAAATTAAGGTGACCACCATATGGGAAGTGTTATACATTGATGCCCCCAATTTATGATGAGCTTTTCCATTATATACTACAAGGAATTTATGTGTTTACCATTCCGCCTGCAATAAGGATTTTGATCATAGAGAATGGTGCTTTTTTTGGAAACTAAAGGGATAGCTTTTCTTTTTGCTTGCAGATGGCAATATTATCTCGCATGTACCCTTGCAAAGAATGTGCAGATCACTTCAAAGAAGTTCTAAGGTACCTAGTTTATCAGCTTGCATGAGAGCAATAGGAACATTTTCTTTTTTCAGAATTTTCATTTCTAGATTCTAATCTACAACAAACAACAACGTCTCAGTTCCAAACAAATGGGGATTGGGTATACGAATCCTTATCGATCATGTTTCTTCATTTAGACTCATCTCAGTCAATATTTTATAAAATAAAAAGTACTATCATAATTTCGTTATATTTTCTACTGGCAATGTAAAACTATAGGTATGTGATTGGCTTAACATTCTTATATATAGACCATCCGCGTAAAAGCCAGTCGTTGTTGACATGTCAAATGAACCAATGATATAATGACACGTGTAACTTTGGGAAAACATTGGCACCTGTAATTTAAAAGAGAATTACAATAATTAAAAACCCCCAAAAACCAAAAAAAATAGAAGTCCTCAAATCTCCCCCTTTCACTTATCCAAAATAGTAGAAAGAACAGAGAAAACAAATGGAGCAGATATCAGATTATGGAAAGACAAATGGCTCAACAACATTACACTCATGGATGAATACCCTAGCCTGTTCCAGATTGCATTGGACAAAGACTCCTCCATAGCTCAGAACAGAAGTGGCAATAATTGGGATGTTCATCTCAGAAGAGCAGTGCAAGATTGGGAAGTGGACAACTTGATAGAATTGCTTGCCAGAGTGGAAAGGTTCAACATGAATGCAAGTACACCGGACACCATTTGTTGGGGGAGTAAGGGCACTTTCTCGGTGAAAGAATGTTACAGGCAGCTATGTTCTCAAAACCAAGTGATCGATGCATGGCCATGGAAATTAATATGGAAAACTAAGCTGCCTATTAAAGTAATTTGCTTTGACTCGATTGTTCTCCATGAAGCTTGCTTGACACAAGACAATCTCAACAGGAGAGGCCTTCAGCTGGTCAATAGATGTTATATGCGCAGGGAGAATGTGGAAACAGTCAGCCATCTGTTTTTGCATTGCCCAGTGGCCACTGACCTTTGGAACATGTTTTATTGTATTTTTGGCCTCAAATGGGTTATGCCACAAAACATAAAACAGGCACACCTGAGCTGGAGTCGATGGAGAGTTGATAAGACCATCAAGAAGATCTGGTTGATGGTCCCTGCAGTTATTTTTTTGGTGTTTGTGGAATGAGAGGAATAGTAGATGCTTTGATGGGATCTCAACTCCAAATCACTCTCTCAAAGCTAGATGCCTACTCAATCTTTTTTGTTGGACTAAGTTAGCTACTGTAACTAGTTCTGCTCATCTTCTAGACTTTGTTAGCTCCCTTGTCTTAGATTGACATACTGTAAAGGGACTAGTTTTTCTTTCATTTTTGCACCTCAACTTTTGTAACTATGCATCTTCTTGATGCTTTTGTTAATATAACATCTTACTTCATCAAAAAACAGAGAAAACAACACCTTCTTAGTCCTTCCCCATACCCCCCCCCCCTCTCCCCCATTCCTCACCGTGAAGGAGTTTCAAATCACCAATAATAACTTACCTTGGTTAGTAGGATCATTTTTGAAGTACCAAATGTTCACTTGAGAGCCAAGAACCTAATCCCTTTCTCAAAGTGCAAATCTGTACCGAAATAGCTATATTTATGGTGCTGGGGTTCCATGCTCTGGCCATGCGGCACATAGTCGTCGCATGGACTGTGATTGCATGGCCACCCTTTGGTAAAACAGCCATATCTTTTCGTACTGATCTACAACTGACGAACGGTTTGAAGTGTTGGAAATGCTTCAAGAGCTACAACTTTCGTCAAGGAACCTTGGTGAAATTCCTTATATATCAAGAGATATATATTTTTGAAGTTGGATAATTGTTTTCACTAAATTTCAGGCACCCCATGCAATGGGCGACATTCCCTGGTTCCAGGATCTGGACGGTGACATGCAATGCCCACTTGATGGAACTTTAGTCCATTGCGTCAGCTCGCTTCTTGTCCAAATCTTTGTGAGTGTCTCATGCCCTGTCCAAATAGGAGACATGCTGGAACTTTCCACTGCGATTCATTTGCTTCCATTTTTCTTATTCCCTGGTCCAAACCTCTTCCTATTGGTTCCTTAGGCATGTTCACATATCCCCAGCTCATTGTCACCCTCGTGTGAGCCCGCACACCCTTTGAGACTAATTAAATCACTCTGTAAACATGTAATTAGCTTGAATTAGATATGAAAAATTTACGGGGCTTTACAATCTCGATAGTCGGTGATGTCATTGGGCTAGAGTGCCTTTCTGTGATGTTATGACTTAGACTGCTGCCTTGAATGCTCGGAATACCTTAACGAGTTTCTTAGTGGATGTTGATGAACTTTGTTTCTCTTGTAATTTGACAGAGCAAATCCTGTACAAGCTGGATCTCAAGCTGAATTTTCACAATGGTTATGTTACATGCACAATGTGGTAAATAGAAGGTACTGCATTGTAAAGCTTTTTCTGTTTTCAGCTATGCATCTTTTACGTCAAGAAAGAGGACTTAAAACTCTCAAATATGATGTGAACACATTGCCCCCCAAACCCTTTAACTTAAATCTTGTTAGTACAATCTTATTTGAAACTTCTCCTCTTTTAACCGTATATTCATGACCTTTTCTTCTCCGTTTTCTGATTAGTGAACTTGATAAATCCTCTTGATGTCCATTATAGAAAAAATTTCTGCAGTTGAGTATGCGTCCAGTTTGTGACAGAACTAGTTTTCTTGATTGCTTCCCAATCTTGTCTTCAATGGGTCTTTTAAGTTGAAAGTTTTTTTCATCGGGTTAGTTCCTGTCTGCTTGAAGTTTGAAAACTTGGTATTTAATTTATTCCTGTATTTCTGAAGCGAATTCCAACTATTTTATACAGTTTGAACAAGCCTATATTTCCATGTGATCGAGTTGATGCACGATGGGGCAAGCTTGACTGTGAACAACGTGCATGTGATTTGCAAGGGACTGATAAATTTTGGCCATGAGGTACAGTGAAGCTCTTATATTAGGAACAGCATATACAGAAACCATAATCCAGAATTTGTTGTCTCATTCACACCACCAATCCAAGGAAACAAGATACAGATTTTGCTAGCTACACTTAAAGAGCATTCAGTTAGTATTATGTATCTTTCCATTGATGACTTGAAGTTGCAACCCTTTCCGAGGTGAAGCTGTTCACAGGGAATTGTATAGTTATTCTACAACGCAAAGTGGCATCTGTAACTATATTCTTGAGTGCTGATTATAAACCATTGAAAGCCTGGAACAAACTCCAGTTGTGTGAATGAACTTATTATGTTTTTATTTGGAAGTGACAAGTTCTAATTGACCAAATGAGTTATAGGTTGTCACCTACATCCAACTTGAGAAAGCACTTCCCTAATAAACCAATTTGCTAACTTAACCTGATATATTGTCTCTTTTCGTCGTCTTGAGCCGAGGGTCTATCGGAAACAGCCTCTTTATTCCCTCGGGATAGAGGTAAGGTCTGCTTACACACTATCCTCCGCAGACCCCACTTGTGGGATTTTATTGGGTCGTTGTTGTTGTTGTATAAGATCTAAAGAGCAATTTCAGCTCCCAAACATCTGCTCAAATTGTTGACACCTCCCCAAGAGGGCAGGATTCTTTTCTTTATTATGTGAACAAGTATATCTTTGCAACCAGTAGCATGTGCACATTTTTCATCCTTCGTTAACAGACCAGAAGAGTAGCAGTCCTAATTGCAATGTTTATCCAAGAAGAATGTTATATTTGATGCATTTTTAGAAATATTTGTCTCTGTTATTGAGCAACCTTATGTTGACCATTGAATAGTACTTGAATCAAATGGGATAGGGATTGATAGCTCCAATCCTTTATTGTTAATTCAAACGTGTTCTATGGAGAAACAAAAGGTAGCCCTAAAATATCTAGGAATGGCAATGGGGCGGGGCGGGGGAGGGGCGGGTTTGGCAAAATCCACAAAAATTTCAACCCGCCCAGCCCCACCCAGCATAGTTATTTTTTCAGCTTCCAACCCGCCCCGCCCCACTTAATTTTATTTTCTTTTTTCTTTAATTTTTTTCTAAAACAAACTAGTTTGATATTTTATTATTTATAAAATGGAGAGTAATAGAATCACATAAACATTTATATTTACCGTCTTGCAATGGTGAAACTAGAAAACCACCAGCTTCTACACCCAGTTGCTGCTGCTGCAAAATATCCTTGATTAAATCCTCAGAGAAGATAATAATAGACAACTTCTCTGGTATCTCTCTAAGCAGTATTAGGGGTGTACAAATGAAACCGACAAACCGCACCAACCCGATAATCCGAGTCAAATCGAGAAAAAAAATCAGACTATGGTTTGGTTTGGTGTTGGAAAAAAAAAATCCAATAATAATTGGTTTGGTTTGGTTTTAACTAAGAAAGTCAAATCGAAACCAAACCACTAATACATATATAGACGTTTTAGATATATTTAATATATAAATANTTTTAAATATATTTAATACATAAAAATATTTATTGTAGTGTAGTTAATAAATATTTCTTAAGTTTTTTTATAGTTTTATCTTTTTACGTATTATTTCAAACTTGGACTTATAATTTTTGGATGATCCAATAAGTCTTAGTTCATAAATGTTAGTAACTCAAATANGTTTTTTAGTTTTTTCGTGGTTTAGATAAAATGCATAACTTAGTTTTTCTTTAGTGTTTAGTCATGTAAATAATACTAGTACTTATTAGTCGTACTTATTTTAGCAACTTATCAGTAATTTTAAATTATGTTTGTTTTCGTTATGGCTTATTAATAATACTTATTTTATACGATTTTATTATCTTTATTGTTTAATATTTTAGTACAATGCCATAACTCATCTCATATTTATGTTATTTTATTGAAAAACACCTTATTTAGTTATATCTTATTAGGATTAAAGAAATATTTGGAGCACAAATTCTATATTTGGTGCTATGAAGACTTTACGAAAAAAACCCGAGAAAAACTCGAAAACCCAAAAAACCCGAGAAAAACCGAGGTTGAAAAACCCGACTTTTATTGGTTTGGTTTGGTCTTTAGATTTAATAATCCGATACAATTAGTTTGGTTTGGTAATTAGAAAATCCGAACCAACCCGACCTATGTACACCCCTAAGCAGTATTATCAAGGCATCAATAGTGATATCTTAACTTATGTAATATTATTTTGGTGACACTTACGCAAATTGGTTAATTATTAAAATAATATTCGTGCTAGTGAAGAAGAATGTGAAATTGTAGTTGAAATGATTGCTTTGTTTCAAAAGAAATAAAACTTAAAGTTGCCCCGCATTAAACCCGCAACCCGCCCCCGCTTTAAAAAAGCACCATTGCCATCCCTAAAAATATCTGTAAGTGCCAACCAAATAGGAGATGATGTCACTGTTTGCTTTTTAAAACTAATATATTCTGTCGAGAAATGATAGAAGTGAAAAATAAAGGGTGTGTTGTGTTGTAGTTGGCTGATCAAAATCAATTTCAAGCCCAATGGAAGAGATGCCTTTTCCATTAAACTTTTTCCTCCTTTTCTTTTTTTGGTAAAAATAGCACGGTATAGCCAGTTTTCGAACTGGTCAATCAAAAATAGCCAGCATTTATCAAGTCAATGAAAAATAGCCACCGTTTTGCTGCAATAGAGATCGGTCCAGCATAATATACTGGAGTTCGGTGCACTTGTGTATGAACTCCAGCATATTATGCTGGACCGGTATACTTTGCTGGCTCCAGTATAATAATATACTGGAGACTGGAGCACTGGTGCTCCAAACTCCAGTATATTTTTTGTGGACCATTATACTTGCTGGAACTCCAGTATATTATGCTGGAGTTCTAGTGTACTTATGCTGGAGTTCCAGCATACTATCCTGGAACTCCAGTATAATATGTTGGAGTTCAAGTATACTTATGCTGGAACTCCAGCATAATATACTGGAGTATTTTGAACAATGTTTTCACTCAGATTTATCTTTACATAAAAAGTGGCCAAATTTCAATTACTTTTGAAATTGGACTATTTTTGAACGACCAGTTGTAAATCTGGCTATTTTTAAAAATCTCCCTTTTTTTGTGGGTTTGTTTGTTTCTTATTAGGAAATATGAGCTTGAGCCAAAATGTCATAATTTTTGGTTTTTACTTTCTTGAAAAAGGTGGCAATTGCGAAAGCATTTTTCTACTAGAAAGTATTTATACTTCTCTAAAATATTAATTTGTATAGATCCCAATTGCCACTTCTGGAGGAAATTATGGAAATCAGCTATTTTCATGACATGATAGAAAATTCTCAAGGTATTCTTTCAAAATTAGTGACAACTTTCCTTCATTTTGGTTATGCTCAACTCAGAGCAACTCTTGGAGTGGATATGACTCCCATAAAACCTTTAGGAAATATGTATCTAGGAGTATAACATGGCACTTCAAGAAAAACTTACTCAGATCGGCGCATTCACCAAACCACATTAATACCATGGTTCCTGCGAAATTGAGGTAAAAATACATGTATTAATTACCATGGGGACTGATGCACTTCTTACTTACTGGTATCACGTAGTATTAATAAACCAGGATAAAATCATTCAAGAAGATTCAAGAACTGTAACAGATCGATCTTCCTCAGCAATCCATGCCAAGACCATGAATCGTCAGGATGGAGACTAGAAGGTTAAAGACGAATAATTTTCTTATTACAGCACGGATTACAAGCATATATGATCTTCACTGCCATCTGATAAAAGCTATAAAGACGAGAGTATGATATGCCGCTACAAGCACCTAGCCCAAACAAACTAAATGATAGAGTAGACACTACCCCTAAGCAGTTACTCAATAGTAGCGT